GTGGAGAGAGGCAGGTTTGGGACAGTTAGAGTAAAACACAGTGGAGTTTGAGGAATATGTTTCCACACAAACCTCCCTTTTGCTTTTATTAGAACCATATTTAGTGACATTTGTGTCCCCTCCCACGAGGACGCTGCTTGCAGACTCAGCGGGAGCCCGGGCTCTTCCGGGACCTCAGTCCTTCTCACTCCTGAGACGAACTGAGGGATCCCCCAATTCCTGCTCCTCTCAGGACACCCCAAGGCAGCTGGACCTGGTGGCCGGAGATGCCGGAGATCCTCCCATTTTTCCTTCTCAGGGGTACACGGAGCAAAGGTTACAACATTTAACGTGCTCATTTTCCCAACACTCACGGTAGCCAAGTCCCATCCTGGTCTTCCCAGTGGCTCCATCATCATGTGTCCACAGCCCCGAGGTCCCGAAAGGTCCTCGGTAACATCAATAAGAGGTGGCCGAATTTCTCAACAAGGATGGCCAAGTCCTCAAGCAAATGCTGATCCCGCTTTAGGATTTCTCCCTAGTTTGGGGATGTCACCAGTAGGTGGCAGCTCGGGATTGCATCACGAGCCAAAAAAAGCAACCGGGAGTGCAAAAAAAAAAAAAAAGAAAAGAAAAAAAGAAAAAAGAAAAAAGAAAAAAAAAAGACCATTGCACCCAAAGCAATAGGGCAACCCGGACAAGCGATCGTTTTCATGCAGGGGATTTGGGAGAGCGGGGCTTGCTCGCTGCTGGAGCACCTGCTGCATAACAAATCTCTCTGCTCCGGGTGGAAGCGGTTTCCCTCCCTCGGGAGCGGGTTAGGGCTCGTTAATTAGGACACGGACGCGGCTTCGCTCGGGCCCCGTGCGGGTGAGGCGGCTCAATCCAGCCGGACTGAGCGCAGCCCACGCGTTCCCATGGGCCTTTCCGTGACGCTTGCGCCCGAAGAATGAGGATGAGCCGAGTGCACGGAGAGTTTGGGGATTTCCCCTACAGGGCAGATCAAAAAGTTGCCAGGATGCGTTGTTAAAAGAGATGTTTAGACTCAGGAAAACCCTGGGAAAAAAAGCAAAGCTCCGGTCCCGGGCTGCTGCGCTAATCACCGGGTTGCTGTGGGGAGAAAACCCCATGGGGCTGAGCCGATGCTCCCACCAGCTCCCGTTTGATCAGCCCAGATCAGGAAGTGGGATTTTTTTCCCTGTCTCTGTTTTGTTTTACCACTGTAGCCTCCGGGGCTGGTTTGTTTTCTCGCCTCCCACAGTCGGATAATTTTGCTGCTCTCCCCGGCGGAGGCCACACGAGAGCCCTGAGCCGCTCCCAAGGCCTCCAGACGCTCGGGAGCGCCGGAGCCACCGGCAGGACGACCCGCTGTCAATAGCCCTTTTATTGCTCTTGGAGCCGCTCTTCGCTCCCAGACTTACCCCGCGTTACTCCAGCGCAGCTGCGGTTGCTCCCTTCCAGCAATTCCCAACGCAGTACTTAAGGCGGGGATTTATGGGCGGTTTTGAAAGGCATTTTGGAATGAAAAGGAGCTATGGGAAAGGAAGTCAAATTCCCACTGTTCCCCCAGAAAATTCTCCCAGCGTCTTTCACTACCAGTATCGTTTACTGGTCCTTTCCTCAAACAGAGACAAGTTCTCAGCTGTCGCTCTTTGTTTAATCCAAAGGGTTTTCCAACAGGAAGGAGCAGCAGGGGTTATTCTGGAGGCCACGGCAAGCCCCAATCCCCTGGTGACGAGGCTCTGCTGCACTGATTAATTCCCTGACACATTTTGGACGTCGGTAACCAAAGGGTTGTTCTCAAGCCACAGATTATTGCAAATCTTAGGGTGAGTGCAGCTGAGCTGACCAATTTTGACACACGCAACAGTTTGCAAAATAAAAAAACAGGGGACCAAAGTTCCAGAGGACAGGAGCTCTAAGATGACCATCAGGGGTGTTATCTTAGAAGCTGGATACTACCCACCGTTTCTGAGGTCCTTTTGTCAACAAAATCTTATCTGCTACAAAACCAGTGGTCACCTAAGCAGGCCGGATTGGGTCGTCTCCAGCAAAACGGGCTCCCCCCAGCAGTGCTTTTCACAGCCACGACGTGGGTTGGAAAGGCTTTATTGGACAGCTTTGCTGGATGCCACAAGTGTGAATCTAGCAGCTCTGCGCGGTGCAAAGCGAGGCCGGGCCGTTGTCGCGAGCTCCAGCGCCCAACCCGGCCGCAGGGACCTTCCTCGTGACCTCGTTAAATGGGAACACACTGATCCCGAGCGCCCCGGGGTCCGTCCGCACGGACCAGCCTGTTGGAGCTGGGGCTGGGAGAGCTTCTCCCTGTTCCTCTCCTTCCTCCCTGCTGCCCTTTCGCTGCTTTTCTCTCGTTCGGGGTGGCTGAGACTCCTTAAGGTGGGAATGACGGGGTCGGGGCTGCTCGGCGCGGGTATCCCAGCAAATAAAGGCACGGATCCAGGGAGCGGGGGAGATTGGGGTGGGATGAGGAGGAGGAGCAGCGGGATGCCCTGTCCTGACCGCGGCGGAGCCGGGCAGCTCGAGGCCATCGCGTTCCCTCTGTGTCCGTGCAAAGCGGATACAGGAACTACCTCCGTTAAGCTCTGTCCCAGCTCCAGCTCCGGAGCACAGAACCGGAGCTGGGAAGAACAGCCCAAAGCACGAAGAGCAGCAGGGAGGCCCCATCCAGCCTCGCCGGGTGCCAGGAATCCAGTGGGATCCGAGCTGGGTCTGTCCCACCATTCCCAAAGCCCTCCTGATCCCAGGGCTACATCCCGAGGGCCGAGCGCGAGCGAGTGTCCGTCTGCAAACCCCGAGTGTCCGCGGGAATGAGACGCTCCTTGAGGCCGGGCTGGTGTTTTCCCAGGAGGAGCAAGGCCGGGCTCTGCAGAGAGGGCTTTGCAGGAGGAGGGAAGGGTTTGGGATCGGGGGCAGCCGTCCCGCAGGGCCGGGAATGCAGCTGCGTGCGGGCAAGTGGAGGGGTTTTACACGGGAGAGGGGGAAGAGGAGGGACGGGGAGGAAGGGAGCGCGGGGCGGCGGGGGACATAAAGGGGGTTTCTTAACGGGTCCTTGAGTCGCGCGAAGCAGGAAAGGCGCCTTCTCAGCTGGGTTCGTTCTCAGGCCTGTTGGCAGCGGGTGCTGAAGACGTTCCATCTCCCAAGGGAAGGGCAGGCTTCAGAAGGCCCCGATTTCGGTAGCCCAGGAGCGGCAGATCCTGGCTGTCCCAAGCCTGCTGCCGGGTCCCTGCGCGGCCGGCGGCG